AATTTGGTTCAGTTTTTCAATGGATCGACACCTTGTTCGTGGGTAGTTCAAGGACTGTTAAAAAAGCTGAAAACCCGAAAAGTCTTTCTGTTTTTTCACACATTCTGGCTCCGATAAATAATTTCACTTTGGTGACCTTTTAAAGAAAACATGTCTTTTGAAGCCAGTGGTGGGTTTTGGGCTTCAGATTATTTCAGCTGCTCAAATAATGCTTAAATCCTGTAGTTGATGTCAGTCAGATTTGCATATAAACTCCCCTCTCCTGCACCTGTAAAGCTTTACTTGTAAAGTTAAATTTTTGGTGTTTGTTTGAACTCCCAGTGAACAATTACAAACACTATTATATCCAGTTTCCACCTTTTCTCTGTGTGTGAGTGAAGCAGCTATGAATGTTTATTTCTGCTGTATCACTGTGAGCTTTTTAGAAAGTTTGTCTGTGTTTTCTTTTTTTTTTTTTGCACTCTGAGGACTAAACTTCCGTAACAGAGAACAGCTCCGGGACAGATGCAGACCAGACCTCCTCTGATATCCATCACTGTGACAGCTGCGACACAGAAAATATGGCCTGGTGTCATTTCCATGTTCCGACTTTGCCTCCTCTGTTTTCTGTAAAGCTTCTTGTGCCACTCACATTTTTAAAAACGCTCCATAAATAAACCCTGACGGACGCTGGACCGTCGCCAAACAATCACATAACAGTCCATATTTGTTTCCCACTGACTCCGAACAGAGGTGATGCATTGCGGCGCATAAAGCCGCGTTTCATTATTTACAGCCTCTTAATCAATGCTTTGAATTACACATATAAGAGTCTAAGTGAATGAGTTTGCAGGCTGAAAAATAATAATAATAATCATATGACAAATTCTATTTACTGTTTCCTGTCGGAGCTTTTCACAATCATTCCCAGGACCTTGCATAATGTCACATCAGACCATATGAATGATTTCACTTTCCTGCTGATAGCACAACAATGCAGAAATGTGAAAATCACCGTGAATAATTTGGGGACAACAGCGGCTCTGTGTACTTGGAACACATTCATATATTTACTAAAGAATCACTAAACTATCCCAAGTTTTCTGTTAAATGTCAGATTTTCACTGACAAATGGATTTATACGGATTTACGATTGTGGAGTTTAAATGCCGGGTGAGAGAAGATTTTTGCAGGCAGACTTTTTTTTTTTTTTCCCGAGTGCCAATTTCTTGAGCAGACAGTGCAGCAGCTACATTGAGTTATCAGCTGGCTGTGTGTTAATCACGGCGTCAGATAAGACCTGCCGGCAGAGGCGCAGCAGAATTTCAATAAACTATCCGAACCGGGGAGGAGACGGAGCGGCTCTTATCTCGGGGAGCGCGAAGGGACACGAGGGGATGAGTGTGAAGGGAAAAGGTTTATAAACCGAAGGACTGAAAGACAATTTCGTCACGATCAGGAAATGCTTGTTTTGTGGCCTCGGGATGCAAAGACAACAAGCTTGTCGTGTCAAGATCAGAAAGTGAAGTTTTCATGACAAAGAAAACGAAGAGAATAGGGTGTGTGTGAGACATCTGCAGCTATGATGTGATACATCCATCCATCATCTATACACCGGACAATTTAGAATCACCAATTAACCTCAACATGTTTCTGGACTGTGTGGGAGGAAGCTGGAGAACCCGGAGAGAACCCACGCTGCACGGGGAGAACATGGAGACTCCACGCTCAAAGATCCTCGTGTCCTCACCAGGACGTGAACCAGCGACCTTCTAGCTGCGAGGCAACAGTGCTAGCCACTGATCTACCCTGATGTGATGCATTAGTTGTGAAAACATCACCACCAGAGGATGTGTACAGTGTAGATAGTGTTTCCCTCGTTTCAAATATCAATCACGCACCATGTAGCGACGGGAAAGTGACACAACGGTAGATCTACTCTGGCTGTCGTTACCCACGTGGGGCTGGAAGGAAACATTGTCTTTAAGGAAAAAAAGAGGCAAAATTACCCCATTTATCAGTCGGTAAGAACAGAAAGAACAGTCTGATTTCCTTAAACTACTCATCTGTGATTTGTTAATACATCGCAAAACTTGAACAAATCTGAGCATAAAATTGTGATACTTCATCAAGAATTATTTTATACCACATGTCTCCTTTTTAAAAAATGTGAAAAATATACTATTTGGTCTCACCAGAATCTGTAAGAAATCTAAAAATCCTTGGTGAAACAGAGAAACCACAACTCGTATAGAAACAAATTAAAAATGCAAATAGTAAAATGTCCATTTTTTCCTGCATTGGGGAGAATTGATTACAGTTTTTTTCTCCTGTAAATTAATAATCATAGAAAATCAATTTTGCTATTTTTTTTCGATGATTTTATTGGATTATTGCTTGTGCCAGACTGCATGAAAGACATTTTGAGTTCTCTCTCCTTCTAGTCATGGCTGAGCTGTTTCCATAAGAGGTTCAGGACTTTAAATTGCAGTGAAGTCCACTGTGAGTAAAAATATGACAGAAAAAAAAGAAACGAACAACAAAACAGTGCTTATGGCTCACTGACAACTATCAAACTGCATCTCATGGTCTCATCAGAAGTCAGTTTTTGCAACAATGGATGCAAATGCAAACTGTTTGAATGTTCAGATACTAAAAGCACGTGAAACTAAATTGACCGGTGACTGACAGATTAAGAGGCTAAACTTACATTTTTATATGCATTTAATCTCCTTTGATCTTCTGGAAAGCGTCTAAATTTGAGCTATACATCTAACAAATCAGTGTCACTGTGCCTCAGATACTTCTGCATGATCAGTTTTCATATGGAGCTCGTAGTGCAATTAACTAATATTTAAACTAACCAGATCAGAGCTGCTGTATATATATTAATTTAAAATTTCAGAATAAACCAAAAAGGGTCATTTGTGCTGATAAAGTCATACTGTCTCCTTCAGTTTCTATTTCCTCTCAGAGCCGTCCTCCCTCTCTGCACTCACCATGGTGGATGGTGCTGCTCCTGTTGGACCCGTCTGCCGGGCCTGACCCATGGGTCCACCTGCAGGTCCCATCTGGCCCGGTTTGGCCTGGCCCTGGCCCATGCCCATCCCCATGCCCATGCCCATGCCTTGTCCTGCAGCAGGGGGCTGCTGCTGAGGCCCCGTGGTGGCCGTGGCACCGGGCTGCCCTGGTCTGGCCGCTGATGTCTGGGCTTGTTGTTGGAGCTGTGTCCTCTGTCCTGGAGGCCCGTCCGTCTGGGAGCCTGGACCGCCCTGTCGTCCTGATCCCGCAGGCCCACCGCCGGGGCCCTGAGCCCGGGCTGAGCTGCTGCCAGACCTGGAGGAGCCTGAATCGACAAAACAATCGTGTTTTTTTGTTGTTTTTTTTAAATGAATCGCTTCAAAATTGACTCATCTTTCCACAAAACAAAAAAAAAGCAGAGGACAGAAATTCAGCCGTTCTATTTATCCACAGATCCTGAAATAAAATATCAGCAGCGCTGGGAAGCCTGGAGACCTTCAGTGATTGACAGCCCACAGAAATCGTGTGTGCCAAAAGGATTCAGTCAATCCATCTGTGATCTTTGCATCATCTGCTTCTTGTCTTATGCGCACAGTTCCTAGATAGTCATCCAGTCCGACTATTTCCAGAGTGCATCTGCCTCCGAGAAAGTTCTGCTTTTATAAAATCAAAACAACGATCTCCCAGTGATTTATTCTACAGTACAGCTCCACCATTATCATAACCACATTCCACTTTTCATTACACTGTACACAACTGACGGGAGAGGCGGGAGCGAGACAATGACACGCAACAAATGTTGTGAGCAAAGATCAAATCAGTGATTTAATGAGTACACTCCTAAGAACACAGCCACAGCGCTGCCTTCAGAGAAAACATTTCTCTCTAAAAGTTACGCTTGATATAGTTAATTAAAAACTGTTGATCCCTGAGGGGAAAGTTGATTGTAAAATTGCATCAAACTCCGTCTGAACAACAGGGGTTATTAAACATTTCTACCCCAGACTTAAATAACTTCACAGGATCTTTTTCGGGGATCACAGCTTCTTATTGCCGCAGTAATAATTTAAGGGCGTCCCGCAGATTTGGGAATATGGTTTAGGTGCTTTATTTGTCAGATTTCTTCAAAACGATTCATGGTTTAATTCATGCAGGGTACAAAAGGTATTAGGTAGCATGATTTAGCTCAGTTAGTAATAATAAATAAAAAATGAACTTCTTATTTTTTTTTAACTCATTAAGAGAAAGTCGTGACGTTCTTGAGAACAAAGCAACTTAATCTGGTTTGTTTTTGTCACTTCAGCAGAACTCACCCAGCTACAATGAGCTGAACTAAACTAATACATACTTAAATCTAAATTTAAAATATATATATAACCATCACTTATCAGGTCATGGTCATATAATTCGATTTAAATGAACACATTTTGGCACCGCTCCTCCTTCTGGAACAGCTCCAGACTGCCGCCGCTGAACAGAATCTGAATGAGGTCTAACATGACTCCGGTCGTAAAAAGAGTAAATGATTTTTGGATAACGTGTATTTTACTACTTTTTTAATGTATTTCGAATGCCCGAATGTGTAATGTGTGTAATACTGTGTGTAAGGCAATGTTTCAAGTGCTGAGAGAGATGGAAAAGTCAATCAATTGTTCTTCAATTTGCTAGATAAGCTCTTTTTCTATGTATTATATTTATTTTATTTACTTATGTAACTGATTCTTGCAGGGACAGCACAGGATTAAAGGTAATTGCACCAGAGTTAGCTAGCAGCTAGTTTGCACCTGTTGCCCCTGAGCAGGTACAGAAAACAATACATAAAACTTAAATAAAATCAGTGAAAACAACAAATGAAAGGTAATCATTGGTGGTGACAAGTTTTCTCTGAAATCAGTCAAACTGTGACACTGGTTTTTTAAACACATCAAAGCTTTGTGAGTCTCACATGTTTGTGGGGATGTAATTCCACTTTTTTTTTTTTTTTTTTTACAGCTTTAACAGAGAAAGCAGATTGAATAAAAACTGTCTTTCTGAACCGCGTACCAAATCACCTCTAGGAGATGCTCTGGTCCTACCTGCACTGCCGGTGCCTGGATAGGCCAGGCATCCTCAAAGGGAAGATGGCACAATCAAAAAATAGTAAATTGTCTAAACTGAGGAAATTATATTTTTTGAGAATATTGCAGTGGTGACGATCTTTTGGCTTTTTAGTACTTTACAGAGCGAGTACACAGTTTGAGTTTAGTCCCAGCTATTTTGAGAAATTACTCTGGTTACTTCTACACAGAAAGCACAGTGCTCCCAAACTATACTAAAACATAGTGTTAATGGAGGATTCTGCATTGTATGTACCTGGTGGTTGGCCCTGCATATCTACGGGCCCCTGCGACTTGCTTCTGGAGGACCTGTGCGGGTCGCCCTGCCTAGAGGAGCGCTGGCCGTGATGGTGCCCAGATGGATCCCGGGAGTAGTCCGATGAGTGGTACGCTCCTGACCTCGAGTCACCGCGCCTTCCTGAAGACGAAGATCGTCCTGAAGGGTCGTGGCGCATAGACGGGTCTTTGGGGTGGCCTTTGGAGGACCTCGATGTCCTCGTCTCATCTGCATGGCGAGTTGAGGACGAATGGCGGCTAGTGCTGCCGTGGTGTCTGTGGTCACGGGATGTTGAGTGTCGCCCTCCGTGGCTATACTCATCCTGAGGCCAGAGATCTTCCTCGGGAGGCTCGTCATAATCATGGTAGGTGTGTTTGACACTGTGCCGGCTCCTCCCGGACGAGTGACTGCCGTAGTGCCGAGAACTGGAGCGTGGCTTCTCAAACCAGTCGGTCTCTTCTTGGCCCAGATGGTAGGCTTTGGAAACCGAGAGCAGATCACAGTCAATCTCCATGTCGTTTGGAGACAGCGGCATGCAGGCTGAAAGAAGGTAGAAGGCAGGAAGAAGAAGACCAACCGCATGCAAAAGAAAAAAAGAGTAGGTGGGGGAGGACACAGAAAGAAAGAAAGAAAGGCAGAAAATAAAAATAATAGTTTTACATCCATGCAGTATACACTTCACCTGTCGACTTCACACAATACAAGACAATATAAACAGAATAAAACACTGCAAGACTGTCTATTGAGGCAGCTGCTTTTGTGCCTAATTTTGAAGCCAATTACTTTTTTATAAGAACTGTGTTGCCAATTCATCTTAATCTTTTTCTTTTGATATTCTTGATTTTACAAGTTGCCGGCTTAATTGTTGCAGAGAGACAATAATACGAGCTCTCTTTGAAAGATAAAGTTTAAATATAAGCCTATTGTGAGAGACCGTGTTGCAGCGTAGACAAAGATTTCATAAATCAAAACACAAATAAAAACATCAATGCCAGAGACATAATTAAAGATAAGACCCTGTGAAGAAACAAAATAATGCATCTGTGTCGTGCATAGACCTTCCAAGTGAATCAGAGTGTAGCGAGAGACGACAACGACCACGCCGAAGAACCATGCGAGTATTGAACAGACAGACGACTGGACGAACAGGCGGAAGGACGGACAGGCAGGCAGACAGACAGACAGCAGTCCACTGATAAGAGAGCTCCAAGTGGCTCTCAGGAAGAAGAACACATCAGCATGCAACAGCTATCTCTGTCTTTCTTTTTCTTTCTCTTTCTCTTTGCTAAGCCTAGCCTCTGGGTGGGTGGGGGACGTTTAGATAAACGGTGGGGGCAGTAGAAGGTAGTGAGACTGTGTGGGAATACAGCTCCCACAATTACCTTCGCTGTCTGACACAGCACAATGATAATCGTCTATAATGTATGTATCATCCGATTTGTAGACATGAGTCCGGGGAAGGTCCCTTATGTGGTCTTGAACATCTGGCAGCGAGTGGCTGGAACCGTATTGGCCGTAATAGTAATGATATCTACTGCTGCGACTGTCGTACGGGTCGGGGCCTAAGCTTGAAGACCGGCCAGAACCCATGAACCTTCCCAGGGGGCTGAGCGGGCTCTCCTCTTCAGAGTACTGCCGAGTTGGGTGGCGCCCCCTGTAGCCAGATCGGTAGGAGCGGTCGTCCCTCTCGTAGGATCGGCTGCGATACCCAGAGTAGTCCCTGGATGAAATCTTGTCCATGCCATAGCCAGTGGAGCGGGAGCGGCCGGTGGAGGTGTAGTAAATCCGATCGTCCTCCTCCACCATCATGCCGTAGTATCGACTAGCATTAGCAGTGCCACTGCCGCCCTCGTAAGTGTTCCTCTTGAAGCCATAATCCTCGATCAGCTGGCGCCCTCGAATGTGGGCGGAGGGGTAAGCCCCGACCGTTGCAGAGGAATAGGAGGCCAGGTCTGCCTCCACATCCCGAGCCTCCTCGATGGGGGAAAACTTGGAGATTTTCTGCTCCATGCTCCCCAGCTTCCGGTGCTTGCTGCGCTTGGAGGACATGACAGCAGGTGCCAGAAGGCTTCTGGCGGATGACGAAGGTTTCTGTACCCCGGAGCGGATGCTGCCATGTTTGTAGTCGTAGTCATAGAAATAGGGGGATCCCCCACCCATGCTAGCGCTCACGCTGCTGCTGCTGCCCCCTAGAGGTCCGTGCCTGTAGCTGCTCTTACCCCTGCCGTGGTGGTCGTATAGCTCTTCCTGCATCGCTGCTTCCTCCTCGGGTGCCCTGCCGTAAGGGGAGCTGCCAGTTCCCCCGCGCGTCGTGCTGCCAGTGGTGCCGCTGTGGCCGTGGATGTCGCCCGGGTAACGCCCATGATGCATCATGTCCCCTGTCGTCGTGCCCAGCCCGTCTTTTGCCGTCAGCTCGCTCACGTCGTCGATCATCATGTAGTTCCTGGGAATGTTTTGCTCTAAGCCAGGAGCCCCATACATCCCATCTGCTGTGCTGTAGGTGGAGGGACTGTCTACAGAGTGCCCGTAGGCGTTGGAAACTGTGGAAGTGTACTGTCCGTAAGAGCTGGCTGTGGTGGTGGTGTAGCCATAAGTATTTGCAGTGGTTGTAGTGTACTGGCCATATGAACTAGCTGAGGTTGAAGTGTACTGGCCGTAAGTGCTGGGGGGCATTGCAGAGTACCCACCGTAGCTGCTGGACACTGGTGCTGAGCCATAGGGCCCATAGGAGCTTGCCATGGTTGTTGTTCCAGTGTACTGACCATAGGAGGGGGCTGCACTGGAGTAGGTAGCATCCTGGGCCGTGGTGGTGACAACAACTGTGGGGTTGCTGATCGTCTCATAGTTGGTGGGCATTTTGTGCTCCAGATCAGCTAGAGAGGTCTGCCTGGGTCTTCCTGGATGAACTGTCAGGATATCAGCTTGGGGCTGCCCAGGGTATGGGGTGGTCTGGCTGGGGTAGGAGGACACAGCGCTGGGATAAGGTGAGCTGTGGGTGGGGTATGGGGGCTGACCGGGTGGTGCAGGCCCAAAGCCTGTATGCCCTGGCTGAGGCTGAGGTGCAGCTGGTATCCCCATGTCTGTCTGGGGGTATGGGGGCTGAGCCTGGGGGTAGGTGTGGGAAGGATAGGAGGTCTGAGACTGGTAGGAAGGTCCAGGAGGGGGGGCATGGCTCTGAAGGGGAGTGGGCTGTGGCAGTGCCTGTGACTGTGACACTGTTGGGTAGGGAGGCTGGTTGAATGTTGAAGACTGGTATGGCACACTCGATTGAGATGGTGCTGGCGGTTGGCTCTGGGGGTACTGACAGGAGAGGAAGGATGAGGTGGGTGGGTACTGGGCTGCTGTGTTGAGGTCACTGGTGAACTGGCTGAGCGGGGCAGTGCTTGGTCTAGTCGTTAGTAGCCCATTAGTCTCATGTGATGCAGCTGCTGCTGCTAAACGAAGGTTATTCAATTCACTATCAGACATATAGTCCCTAGTGTCCCCCATACACCTCAGATAGGCAATATCCCTTCTCTCCCTCTCCTTCACCAGCGTCTCTTTCCTCTGGTGGATCCCCAGCTCTAGATATCTCAGTTTAGCGTCGATCTCTTTCTCTTCCTCCTCCAGTTCGGCTTGCTGCTTTCTCAGCTTGGTCGACTCTTGCTCCACGGCCTTCAGCTCGTGGGTGAGGTCTTTGAGGAGGCTGGCTTTAGCAGCCAGGCCAGACCTGGAGCTGGGCTTGAGGCTGGGCACGGAGGGCAGGTAGACCTGTTGGAGGGCGGGTGTCATCATGGGCAGGTGGGCTGATGCGGCGGTCTCCTCTGGAGGAGGACTGGGCAGGGTTCGCTTGACCTTGCGGAGCAGCGAGCTCTGCTGTAGGGCGGCCAGCTGGAGAGAGATACAGAGAGGGAGGAAAGGATGGGAGAGTGGGAGAATATGGAGGGCAAAGAAGCATGGAGGAGGGGATTGGAGGGGTAAAACAAAAGAATGAAGGAGTGTGGAGGGCAAACAATGGGACACAAATGGAGAGAAAGTTAGGTGAGACAACAATGAAAAAAGGGTAGGGCGAAGAAAGATGTGGCAGAAGAAGGGATTTGTGGAATGAAAATGTGAGATGGACCAGGATCATAAGAACCAAAGGACACAGATGAATAAGGACGGGTTTAAAGATGGTGAAGTTCAAACACAGGGAATGCAGAATAAGAATGAGGAAGACAGAGAGGGTAAGGAAGAGAGTAGAGCAGAGAACAGGTAAGAAGAAAGACGGGGTAGAAAAGAAAGGACAGATGGTTCAGGGAACGTTATGGACACGTTAGGGAGATGATGTGCAGATGAGTAGAACAGGGGGAAGAGGAGGGAGGGAAACTCAAAAAGAGAAAAAAAGGTCAAGGAACAGAAGAAACAAGGAAAGGACGCAACAACAGGGACATACGAGGGAGACAAAGGAGACACGTATAGACGAAGAGACAAAGACAACAGGAAACAAGAGTGGAGTTTGTGTTAGAAGACATACAAGAAACATTCAAATTAGTTTAGTTGTGATGTTTATCTTCTAGCTGCTAACACCTTAAACCCTTTGAGGAACTGTTTTACTGAGTTGTTGCTTTGAGGGTTTACTTACATTTAAAGTTTAGAGACTTGTTTTGTAGAACAGTGGGGCATTTTAAAGCTGTGTTCACCGCATTGTAATGGTTGGCGTCAAACTGAATGATGTCGTGACAAAAGAACATTGATGCATCATGTGATGATTGATCTTCAGGATGGTTTAGGAGGTTTGGACATGAATGTAAACCTATTTTTCCACTATAAACCCCAATAAATACATAAACAAGAAATGTCTGTAACTTGATTATTCTTTCGATGGAACTAATAAGACACTACATATTACAAGCGGGCTGCTTTTTCTCCTTTTTCCGATGAGTCATTGTTTTCCTGAAGCTAATCGATGTCTTGAATGACCGTCAGGATGAACGTGGGTTCATCTTTGTGTGCAAATAATCAATCTCCTCTTTTTTACCCATCGAACACGTTGGCTGCATTTTCAATTTGTAAATAGATCGCAGTGTGTCGTGTGTTGTTTATCATGTCAATCTGTGTGGAGGTGGCAACAGAAAAAGAAATCCCCTCAGGGATTAATCACATAATCTTAGCATGTGGGTGGAGAACATACACTCCATTTAATAGCTCAAAAGGGTTCGAGTGAAGGATGTATATATTACAAAGGGGTTATTCATCACAGCGTTAACATAATAACTACTATGACTCAATATTGATGCGGGAGGTGGACTGATTCTGCTGAAAACAAATAAAAAATTCATCCTGTCACTTCACAGGCACGTTCAAAGCAGCTTGCATTGTTTCTTTTATGTTGCTGAATGCTGCAGACGTTTGGGAGTGATATGACGCAACCGCAGAAGTGGATTAGTCGTGAATAATTGAAGGATATTTTTAATTGGGTGACTCAAATCCAAAGCATGTTACATCTTATAGCACGGCTTGCATAAGCTTTATTAGCTAAATGGATCAAGTATTTTTGAACATGAACCTGCATAATAGTCCTGTGCTTCCTGCCATCAGTCAGCATTTGGCAACACAGAGTTAACCCTCTGAATGAAAGGCAGAGTTTCTTTCAAAAATATCGGAAATATCGCAATTGATCAGAGCCAGAAGCTGCAAAAACAGAAGAAATCATTGGATTTAAAATTTTCTGATAGTCCTTGAACATTTTATTTGTGGTTTAATTGACTAATTTACCAAATCTAAGCTTAAAATCAGTCTCATTTAAAAATTTTCCAAAAATTGCAAAAGCCAAATTTGGTAAAAAAGTTCTTTGCTTCTGAGCTCAACTGTGAAGACATGAGTAACTAAGCTGCAACAAACATTCACTTGACAAAAATTGTTGAACTTTTTGGTGAAACTGGGCTGAACTGCAGGCTGTGTACACTGAGAGCACATGGAATATATAAGTTGTAGATTATCTTTTGTATGTAGAGCAAACTTTTTTTTTTTCAGTATTGAGGGCTGTGGGCACTTTAAAATGGTTTAAATGTTAATTTCAGTTGTTTTTTTTGTAAAATAAATGAAATAGAATTTTAGTTTTGCCTATTTTGATGATTGATGACATCATACTGTGTTTTATTATTTTATATTATTATATTATACTGTGTAAAGTACATTTTTGAGTTCTCTCTCTTTCTGGTCATGGTTGTTCTGCCTCCATAAGGGTGCAGGATTTTATACTGCAGTGACAAATAAGGCGAATAAAAATGTATCAGGAGCAACAAAAACACACCTAACTGCTTAGAGTTAAGAAAGATAATTCCAAATATTGTATTCAGCCCACCTTCATAATATTTATAATACCAAAATCACAGAAATCTGATTTGTATCTTCATAAATCTCATAAATCAAGTTACAGTTATTAGTTATTGCATTCAGTGACTTTGTAGGAAAGCTGCTGACTCCTTTCTTCACTGGATTTGTCAAATAAAAGCCCACAACACCTCAGCTCAATACTGGAGTCCATTTTTGCTTTACATGGCAGCAACTGTTTTACAGGAGTACGAGTCGCTCTTTTACAAATTGGGATTAAACGTAATAAAGTCTCTAAGTATGTAGAAAACAAAAGAAGTACAGTGTCTGAAAATCCATGACAAAAGGAATTAGTTATCACAACGTTCACATAAAGCATTCATGACACGAAACGAAAACAGGCGTGATGTTAAACGAAAGCAATGGTTGTGACTGAAGTTACACTGAAGCCGTTCAGTGTTAATGATGTGGCAGGTTTTTACTCCAGTGAACAACATAAATGTGAGTCAAACTATTGTCTAGAGCAAAGCTACAGCGTGAATCTTGACTGGGATAATATAATATAATATAATATAATATAATATAATATAATATAATATAATATAATATCAGCGTGTAGAGTTGTGACGGTGACCTTTTAGTTCATATTTCCAAACTGTACAGAATTTGGGTTTAAATCATAGAAAACGTATCACTGGGTCATCTGAAATTGATGCACTTCATTTAAAACTAAGCATTAAGGCCTCAAGGCTGTTTGAGCCTTTTATTGCAGCTATAATTCACCTCACTTTCTCATTTTAACTGCTGTATCTATAAGCACCACCTATCCAATGCTTTTTCATTTGTCTTTTACACTGAAGATAGATTATAGCAGCAATTCTTGTCCTGTAATTCAATAATATGTGTAATGTGCTGTTTTTTGTACACACATGTTGCTTTTCAGCAAAAAATGAAGCAAAATTTGAACTTATTTTTTAAATTAAAATAAAATTGCCAATTCGTCAGAGCCAGAAACTTTATAAACACAAAGAATTGTTGATCTAAAATTTTCCGACAGTCATTGAATGTTTTAACATAAGATAAAACTTTTTAAATCCAAAGGAAATTCTTGTGCCAGATATTGCTCAGAAAAAAAACCTAAATGAAAATAACATGTTGTGTGATGTGTGGTTCCATCAGTAAAATGAATCAAATTTAAACCTAAAATTGTGATACGTCATCAAAATCCTTTTACTTTATGTCTTATTTATAAAAAAAAAGAATTAAATTTTTTTATTAAAAAGCCAAAAAATTACAACCAAATTGGTTAAAAACTAAGAATGATCTGCTCCTGAGTGCAACTGTGAAACTATTAGGAACTAAGCTGTAACCAACAGTCACCTGAAGAAAATTCAGGGACTTTTTTGGCGAAAATGAGCTGAACTGCAGGCTGTGTTTACACAAAGCAGACAGGAGATAAGTATAGACACAAGTTTAAAAAATAAATAAATAAATAAAAAAAATGCAGCATGTCTGTGATTCTGGTGAAACTGGGCTGAACTAAAATACATGTTGCATTTTGTTTTCATGATGTTACCCATAAAATTTTCTTCTCATCTATACTGAGATTAAATAAGACTCAAATGTATGTTTAGCATACGTCAGCATGGTCTGAGTGACTTTACCTGGCTCTGGAGCGCTTGCTGTTGGTACAGGGTAAGCCTGGCCTTGGTGTGCTCGTCGGTGGTGGGGCTAAGGGGTTTGGGGTCTGACATGGACCTCTGGGTGCTCTTGATGGGTCGGGGTACAGACGGGTGTCGCTGGGGAGACTCAGCCGTGTAGGACTTCTGCTGTGGCGTGACATGGGCCTTGTTGAGCCTTTCGCTTGACAGTGAGGTCTCCAGCAGGCGGTGAGGGGAAACCGGCGAAACGGGAGAGTACAGGACTTGTGGAGACTTGGGGGTCTGCTGCTGCCGGATGATGCTGGAGATGGATTCGTTGTGGAGGTGGTTGTGAGGCTGGTAGTTGATGTCGAGTGGGTCGGGGCGACGTCGCTCAAACTTGGCTGCATTTGCTGCAATGTGCTGCTGCTGGCGCTGCTGGGTCAGAAGGTCGACAGAACTGGACTGTTGCGTCCCAGTGCTGGTGGAGGAAGAATATGGACTGATTGTGGTTGGCACGCTGAGCTGGGGGGCTACAACACCCTGTGACTGGGCTTCTGGGTCGGTCTGGCATGCTAGGGATTGCCCTTTTTGGGTTCGCTCCGGTCCAGAGATGTAGTGCACAATCTCCACTTTATTAGGGTCTGGTACCGTCACGTGGATCGCTGGGGAGACTCTTCCAAGGTGCTCAACTTCCGTCTGGCAGGACATTTCCCTGATGGTCTGGATGGCAATACTGGAGGAAACCATCTTGGAGGTGTCAGTTTTGGCGTCTGTGGTTGCGGTTGTGGCGGCGCTGCTGCCGCCGGCTGCACTGGACTCAGAGTGTCGGGAGAAACGGGAACGTCGGCGGCGGACGGGATGCTCTGTCTCAGCCTTGTCCTCGTCGTCATCCGTCTGGACGGAGCAGTCGACGCTGCGGCCACGCCTCCTGGTGCGATGACGCATCATGTACCTGGTGATGGATAGAACAGAAGAAGGAAAACATCTATACTGTGCCAAATAGAGAGTGTTGGTAGATGGTCTGCATTTATATAGCACTTTTATCCAAAGTGCTTTACAATGTGTTTCCCATTCATCCATTCACACATTCATACACCAATGGCGACAGAGCTGCCATGCAAGGTGCTTCCTGCCATTGGGAGTGGGAGTGTCTTGCCCAAGGACACTTCGACTGTGGAGGGGCAGGGCATCGAGCCACCAACCTTGCAATTGGAGGACAACCCGTTCTACCACCTGTTGGAAATACATGGCAACTATAGGGAACCTCTTTAAGTTTTTAGCAAAATTTGGTGAAACTTCTGATACATGGTTATTGTTCTGATATACGAGAATTGTCTCTTGGTACCTCAGAATATGCAGAACATAATGACTCTAAGCTTACGAGGTCTGTTCTGTTAACAGCTCAACGTTTATTCTTCAAAAATGTTGGTACAAACACTTCAAATCATGCAAAAACTCTTCAACAGACTCTTTCGTAGATAACAGTTGTGCTTTACAAGTATATAGTATCTGTAAAACTTTAAATATCAAGAACTTTCTGAGATACTACAAAAAAAAACAAAACACACACAAACTGCCCATTGAATCTACTTTCAGCACGTTTATTAATGCATCAAAATGTGAGACTATGTTTGAATGACAAAACCAAGGGAACACTGAAAGATAAAAGCCTGAAATTTTCACAGAATAAAAATATCATAATGAAAAATAATAGTGAAAATTTCAGTCGAGAATCCATGTCTCATTCTGGGTCGCAAATATTGTGAGAGAATTTGTCTAAATCAGCTTGAAAATTAGCCATATGCGTTGTCGTAGTCCCCCCTTTTCTTCAGCTTCTGATCTGGTGTCAACATTCAAAGTAAAAGATGACATACACTTGGTTTTATGTGGACAGTTATATAAGTTATATATATATATTATGGTCGAAAATGGGAGTCGCACCCCTTGTTTCTGGGCTAGACCGAGAACCTTTTGGAGTACCCTCGTACATTGACTGCATTGATATAGACCGTTGATGTTTTAGTGTTGTGGAGGATTAAAAGATCTCCAGATTCAGAGAAGCTATCAACGACACAAAATGTGAACACAAACATTCAGAATCCTCAGTCTGCATGAGCTGTATTTTTATATATAAGATCTTGTTGTCGTATTCTGCTTTCCTTTTAAACTGTGATGTCTTTATTCTGCTTGTAATTGTTCATAAATTATTCATAAAGTCCACATCTCAGCTCGTGTCTTGTTTTTTTTTCTAAATTACAGAAACATGTGAAGTAAGTACGAGGACTATCAGGGTACTCTTGCCTCATAAACACAGTCCTTCCTACGTTTATACCTCCACCTATCTGTTCACACACTCTGGCGTTACCTCTCCTCTCCGTCCTCGTCGTCGGTCTGCACACAGCTGTCCACGATCCTGCGGGGGGAGCCGTAGAACACCACGCCGTCGCCGTCCAAGCTGTCCCTGCTCAGCCTGGTCATGGAGCTGTGCTTCCTCATGTTGGTCCTGGTCTCCATCACCTCCTCCTGGCTCCTCAGGCACATCTCCGACGAGGAGTTGGGGAGCGACCGAGAGCCCATCTGGGAGTCTGCGTAGGGGTGCAGGGGCTGTCCATTCATATCCAGCTGGAGAGAATAAAAAGGATTTGTAGTTGCCACATTTTGGCACATTGAGAAGTCTACAGAAGGACTGCCTGAATAGTTAAATAACACAAAATGATGTAGGTTAATACAATCAACTATTAATTCATGCTAGATCATGTAGCGCTGTTTGAATTTTTTGTTAAAGGTCAGTGTAACAAGAGCTTTCAGTTGTCTCTAGCTACCTCAGTATATGCAGATACAATGACTTGGAGCTTATAAAGTCTGTTCTGTTACTAGCTAAACATATAATGTGTAGAAATCATTGTAAAAACAACTCAAATCATGCAAATATATGTAATATATTTTGTAAATATATGTATATATTCTTATTTGTCTTTTAATACTTCTACTTTGGACCACGGGAGTTGTCTGTAACTTCGTTGGACTTTGTGTATAATGACAATAATTCTATTCCACTCTATTCAAAAATTATTTTACAGGTTTAACTGTTTTTAAAGATACCAGTCGTGCTTTACAAAATGTAGAAACAGGGTCATTCCATCTCAAATTATCAGGGTCTTCTGTGCAGCTATGGCTGATTTGCTTGCAACTTTCTTTTTTCCCGATATATATGCTTTCCAAGATATCTAAAATAACAACAACAACAACAACAACAAAACTGTTGGTCAACCCACTTTGAAATCAGAAGTTGTGTTTTGAACGATAACATCTCAGGAACTATGAAATATAAAAAGCTGAAATGTCACTTAATAAAATACATGATGAGAAATAACTGAAAGGTTCAGGCTTTTATCTTTGATAGTTCCTCAGATATTGTCGTTTCAATCGGCGAAAAAACATGCTGATGGTGGGCAGTTTTTAAAAGAAATTTCACCTCGGAAAGTATTTGATATATGAAACTACAATTTTAAAAGTATCGTTATATATACCCATAGTGTATGATAAAAAATAAAGAAAATCAGGTGAATCAAATGGTCGAGCAGGAACAAATTGTATGTTTAAGATGAAATACCCCAACAAGGTAAACAGTAAACAACACGCCAAAATTATATTCGTAACCCAGCCAGAATATTTTTGTTCTAAAAACGTTCTGCAAAGTTCTAGTAATGTTTTCAGTGGGAAGTTTTCTTCTGGCTCCCAGAATGTTCTTCTTTAGGACAGGATGAAGTTCTGTAAAGATGCTCTAAAGATGTTTTTAAACATTTTCCAAATTTTGCATTAAGAATGTTCTTCTTTTGTTATCCTGTTTTATATGTCAACATTCTCAACAGCAACATTCCTAAAACAGCCTCAGTTTTTCAGACATTAGTAGAACTTGTAGGTAATAATAGGAGTTTCCTCTGTTTGCATGTAGAGTTTATACTATACGTCCATAGATGTATGTTTTCTAAATGTTTCTTGCGCCAAAAAGGGCAGGACTCCTAATTTTGTTGTATGCAGAGCTTACAGTGACAATAAGGGCTGTTTGGAGTCTGGTGTTTTCTGATTCTAATAGATTTCCTTTTCGAAGTCCTCAAAATTACTCCTAGAGGGTGTCACAGAACTTCCAAGCCATCCATCAGCGTTCTTTACTCTCCTTTACCTGCACTCCATGAGTTGCAGCAGCTGTTTTCTGTCTCTTCTGTTCTTCAAGCTGCTGCTGGAGCTGATGCTGTAGGGACTGGATCTGGTCTAACTGGGACTTCTGCTGGGCCAGCTGCTCCCGCTGGAGGACCAGTTGCTTCTCACGTTCATGCTGCTGCTGCTGCAGAACCTACAAAAAAAAGTTTGTTGTTCCAAAAGGGGTATGGGGCGGCGCACGTGTGGGCAAAACACACACATATGGGGACACACACATACAGAAGATTCAACAGAGGTGGATGGAGGAGAGAGGAAATGGGTGGACAGGAGGAGAAATGAGGAAACAAGAAAATAAAGGGTGGATAAAAAGACAAGATTAAAAAGAATTTGAGAAACAGAGCAGAAGGTTGTTGACTTTTGGACGTCTGGTTCTATTCAGGATGATCACATTTTCAAAAATGCAAACCAAATTGCAAGATTCCTGAAACTGAACGTGGCATGGGGTAAATTTTTTAGCTGATGGATTAGTTTTGAAAATGGTTCCAAGTTAGTCAAACTTGTATACATTGCAAAAACCAAGAATGGAGGAGCAACATAAATGAAGTGCAGCATGTATTGGTAATTGCTGTTACCAGTCATGTAATGCTCATAAGAACGTATCTAACGCATTCTCTTTGTTTGCTAAAAATGACAGGGTGGTGCAAATAAGGAGTTAGGGTTTTTGCTTATACTGCAGGTTATGAGATGCATATTAAACATTCCATTTCTAGTTCATTCTCATCAAGGAAGGCTTCCACACCTGTTTAACAGAGTTAACTTGAAAGATTTTCAACTGCTTGTTCTATTAAAAAAGAAGAAAATTTTCACGTTAGCCCGTCGGTTAACTTTTAAAACATCTTCACAAAGTTATAGGAGCTGAGAGAAGCAATATATTCAAATGTGCACTTGCATTTGATTGTTAAGTGTCAACAACTTAACTGAATTCATTTTTCTTTTGTATATAAATGAGACCAACAAATGGAACATGAAACCACTTTCCGAACCTTTTTTTTCTGAATATAAATCAGACCAACAAATGAAACATGGAAGAAACAACTTTACAAACAAAATCTGAGCATCATCATTTTCTAACACACATACATACAACATACAGGCATGTTCATGCACACGTCATATACAGGAAATGTCCAGTAAAAAACATAGCATGCAATCTAAAGACTGGTACTATTCAAACTTAGGCTGGATGCAAACATTTCTTTGAACCAAAGAGTAGTCAGTCATTACAATAACAGAAAGCTAACACCATCTACTATGAGCACATTTAATGGTCTCATCTGTCAAAACTTTCCAGTGAAATTGTCAGTTATTTGCATGTACTTTTTAGAAGAATTAATGGGCATGCATTGAAAAACATGCATATACTATAAACAGATTTTTTTTTTTTTAGCATTTTGGGAGGAATAATGCAACACGGAACAAAAGCAGTTTAAATAAAATAGAATAATATTATCTCAACAAAATATACCACAAACAACACCACCACAGAAAAAACAAACAAACTGATATTCAATGCAAAATCAACAACCACAAAACATCAAACAAGACGCCAACTATCAAATTTTCCATTCCACCACCTGTTTGTCCCTCTACCTGTTCCTTGATGGTCTGCAGCTCCTGCAACTCTCTCTGCACCAGTATCTGCTCCTTCTCCCTGTGGAGCTTCAGCTCAATCCTTTCTCGTTCCAGCTCCTCTTGCAGACGGAACTGCCGGAGTTTTTCGAGCTCCACGCGCTCCCTCTCCATCTGCAGGAGCTGCTCCTGTTGTCGGTGCAGCCTCTCTGCCTCGGTTTCACCCTCTTTGTGTATGGCACCGGGTGGAGGGAAGGGAGGTAGACCACCTGCAATGGGTAGGCCGCCTGCGGGGGCAGATGGGCCTCCAGGAGGTTGGGTGAAGCCATGGGTGTGTGCAGGACCTGAGGGTGGGTAGGCATGAGCTGCAGGAGGAGGCTGTCGTGACTGCTGACCGGTTGTTACTTGTTTCTGTTGTTGGCTCAGGTGCGCTTGGGACAGGTTTATAGGCTGTTGCTGGGGGTCAGTTGGTATGACAAGTGTTCCATGTGCTGGGGTGACCTCTGCTGATGAGGAGGTCACTGTGGCACCTTTGCCAAGGTAAACTGGTTCATCCTGGGCTGTTGAGCTAGCAGTCGTCATGGAAACAGACACTGGAGCCCCTACTGGTGCGGAAGTTGTTGCAGCAGCAGCAGTAGTGGCAGTGGTTGATGTTGTCTGGAGAAGACCTGGTGTTGGGTAACGGACTGGAGTTTGTCCAGCTAGGGGCATTCTAGGGCTCATTGGCAGTCTACTAAGACTGGACAGGGGCACTGGTGTCATGTTAGCAGAGGGGTATGGCCTGTAGACTCCCCTCAGTATTGGGCGAAGGACAGAAGCAGGCTGGGTTGTGATGGGAAGAGTTGAAGCGATAGGTGTCTGAATGGTGGAGTAGATCATCCCATCAGAGGACCTGATAGCAGCAGGGTACATGGCTCTCAGACTTGCCTGTCTGGCATTGATAAGGTTGGTCAGTGCTTGACTGTGAGAGATTGGTTTCCCATCTAGTCCAAAGAGAAGGTTTTGTCTCATGCCAAGACCTGCTGCAAGTCTGGCAGCCCCTGGTCCAGTTCCTCTCCCTAAGCTGCCAAACTGCATCAAGTCTGGGTTGCTTCCATAACGATCCATGGAATTGAGTGCTGCACACATGCGGCTGATCTCCCTTGCAGTTGTAGCACTGTACTGAGCTAAGTTAGCTTCTTGGAAGCTAGCAATGTCACGAGCAGAATAGCCATAATCTGAACTGATGTTAGACAAGGAATTATATCTTCTTATAGGCAGTGTTTGGGCAGTAATGTCTCCTCCATGACGTAAGTCTGTATAGGAACCATACTGCATCCCCATATATCCTCCATAACCCTGTTTCATAGCAGTTAAATCCATAGCAAGTTCTCCTGATGCTTGGAGATGAGGTTCCAATTTTGAATGGTAGGACTGTAGGCCAGCGTCAGCAAGGTTTGTATCAGACATTGAAGGTTGTAGCCTACCAGGAAAAGGTAGCGTGTAAGCCTTGCGTTCATCCATTGGATACTCATGATACCTTCCAGGTTGTCTTTCTTGATCAGACTCATAGCTGAGAGGTGGGGCAGATGGAGGCCTTATGCCCTCTTTCTCAGGACCACCAACACAGCTTCCACCGAATGGAAGTCGATAAACAACATCACAGCAAGCTGGTTGGTTGTCAGGTTTAATTTGCCCTCCTGTCAGATCCACAGCATCCTGACCTTCTTCTACCTTCACTAGCTGAGTCACTGCCCTGGCCATCTCTGGGCCGCCATCCATTTGTACCACCATACTATGTGGTGATTTACCTCCTGGCATCATACCAGGGGGACTGGGTTTCCCTTTCAGTTCAACAGGACCAGTGCCATACAGCTCAGGGTTAATAACTGGTGACACAGCACTGACGACAGCTGAGGCAGTGCTAGTCTGGCTAACAAGCAAGTCTTTTTTCATTATAGGTGGGATCTGGCTAGTGAGGCCATACCTGGCCAAAGCAGACACTTGTTGTTGCTGATGTTGCAGCTGATGGTGCTGCTGTAGCTGTTGTTCAAGGAGCTCTTGCTGTTTCTGAAGCTTCTCTTGTTGTTTTTGTAACTCTCTCTGTTGGATACTGAGGTCTTCCAGTTTGGCATCAATTTTCGGTATTGATGGGTCAGTTGGGGGTGAAATTGGTTTGTTCTGGGAAAGACACACTGCCGAGCCCATGCCCTGGCCCAGATCCACTCGGTTTTGATGGGGATCTCCATACACTGTCGGCTGTTTAGGTTGGGTCATAAACATAGAAGCAGCCACAGTGACACTCACAGTGGTTGGTGTGGTGGTCTCCTGGGTGTTCAAGTTCATAATCAGTGGCTGTACAATCGTTGAATGTCTGCTACCTTCGGATCCACCATGGTATTTCCTGCTTTCTGTGGCTAAGGAAGTGAGATCCATTCCCTGGTCAGTCATGATAATAGGAGCAGCTTTGGTGGCTGTTCTTAGGTCCACAACACTTCCCCCTTGGATCATATGGCCCTGTTCTACTCTTGAAGTACCCGGGACTGTAGATATTCTACAGAGGGAGATATTATCCATTGACATGGACCCTCTGGTATACATGCTTCCTGTGGTTACCATACTCGTTCCCACATTTACCTTCTCCACTCTCTGTGTTCGATAAAAGCTGCGTGTAGGCGACTGTTGGTAAGGTGGCGTGTCTGGAGGGCTGTTACATGGTGAGTAGCTTTCAAATGTTGATTGGCGACTAAATCGGGTAGGTGAAGAGAGCGGAGAAGTAGCAGTGTTGACTGTCATTGGCCTAGCGGGGCTTGAAGGTGGAGAGTATGGGGCATCCTGGGAAGACTGCTGCCGATAGAGCCTTGGGGAAACTGATCGATGTGCCGTTTGGGTTCCCTGAGCCATGACTGGGGATGTAGGCCCAGAGCCAGCTGAGTCCATTCGTAGTGCTGAACTGAAAGTCTGCGTGGAGAACTCAGCTGTAGCTCTTCTGGAAGGGGAACGGGTGGGACTCTGCGGTGGCGGTGATGGAGAAAGAGGAGGGCTAGTGCTCCTGTAATAGGTAGTATATTTGGGAGAACGTGGCTCAATAATTCTCTCAGTAGAAGATGTTGAACTGTCTCGCACTTGGACTCCCCTGGTCTCCCCGACCCTTCTTGTGATCACCTCTCTTTGACTGTAGGCCTGGGTAATCTCTGCAATCTTGCTGCACACACTTGAGACTGTAGCTGAGGATGTGGCGGGACTTCCTGAGTGTCTGCGACATATATCAGACTGAGTAGTAGTCATAGTGTGGCTTGTACCAGTCTGAGAAATTGTCACTGCATCCCTGGCATAAACTCCATAAGCTGCGATAGTGGTGGCAGCCACTGTTGGGGTTATTCCATTCTTTCCTGCTTGGGTTTTGATCCTGTCTTTGTGCCCATCCTTTGCTGAGAAGTGCTGGGTAACTCTGACGTCAGGGATCCGTCCTCCAGTCTCAGCAAAGGAGACGGGAGCAGAAATCTGCGTTGGGCTGGTCCCTGGAGTCAGGAGAGCATTGCTTTGCTCCAACAGCTTAGCAAAGGCTGAGCCTGTGTCTAATAGCTGTTTGTCTGGGTAAGAGCTCTCAATCTCAATCTCTACTTGCTCATCTGTGGCTTGCTGCATCTTGGTGATGTTTTGAGATGTCTGTCGGATCTCCTCGTAAATATCCGTTTCCGTCTCTACTGCCTCATTGTCATATCCAGCTTGATCTTGTTCATATTCATAGTCATCATCGTAGCTTTGTCCATTGATGTCTTCCTCGTAGTACTGCCCATGCCTTCCATGTGGCTGTTGCTGCTGCTGCTGTTTCTGTTGTTTCTGGAGCATCTCTGCCTTCCTCATCATCTCCTCATACACCTCTTCAGCACTCTTTAGTGGTTTGGAGGTTGAAGACGGTGCTGTGGTGGTTGTTGTAGTTGATGATTTCTCTATTGGGGAGTAGAGAGACATAAAGGTAGGCAGGTTGTACTCACTTCCTGACTTGTAGAGTTTGGACTCATACCCTTCAGCCTCCGAGTCCAGACTTTGAGGGGAATATTCAGAAGCAGAGGAACGATGGAGCTCTTCCATTTCTGCTGCCTGTCTCAGCTCTTCTGTTGGAGAAGCATCCTCAATTGGAGAGAGATTGCTTGGTGGTGTCTTGGACCTTTCCCTGCGCCTCTGAGCCCTCAGTTCCTCCTTATCTCTCTTGGTTTTTCGTGCTGTACTTCTTATTCTCTGTTGTTCTACCTCTCTCATCTTCTCCTGCTCTCTGAGAAGTTCCTCCTCTTCCCTTAGTTCGTCCTCCTCTGAAGAGTCTTCTATGGTAGGAAGCAGAGGGCCATGGGACCGGTGCCGTGCTTTCCTCTGCTGCTTGGCCTCTTCCAGCCTTTGCCTCCTGCTGGGACTGCTGTCACTGTCTTCCTCCATTGATGAGATGGAAGTGGGAGACTGACCCGAACCATACGAGGAGGAAGTTGGCGGCAGAGTCGAGGAGTAGTCACCTCGTGAACGTTCCTCTGGAGAACCCGTCAGGCTCTCCATCTCTAACTCTGGCTCCCGATCAAGGCTCAAGTCATTTTCATTGCCCAGCTCCATGTCTCGGCTGTAGCTGTTGGTGTTGTTGAGCTCAATGGTTTTGAAGCGCCTCAGGCCTCCTTGTGACGCCATCACATCTTCCTCGCCCTCCTCCACCGAACCTTTATAAACATCCGTGGAGCTCTTGGTTTCCTCCTCAAAACTGCTAGAGTGGTGCTGAAGGCGTCTCTTTTCTTTACCTGAGTCAGAGATGATGTGCTTGTGGTGGCTTTTCTTGGGTTTCTGGTAGCCATATCCTTCGTCTTCCTCATCTTCATCTTCCTCCATCTCCTCCTCTTCCTCGTTGTCTTCGTCAGCACTCATCTCCATTATTTGTCTCCTCATGAACTCCTCGTCAGTCATCTCCGTGGGCTCGGCATCCTTCTTTTTCTTTTCCTTCTTGTCCTCCTTCGCTTCCTTCCGTTTACCCTCCCAGTCTCCTCCATCCTCTTCTTCCTCCAGTATGTCCTCGAGCTCCTCGTCGGAGTCGTATGCGTCCGGCGGGATCGACAGGGAACGAGGACGCTGCTTCCCTCTGTCATCCAAGTCTCTGTCCCTGTGCTTCCTCCCCCTTCTGTCTGGCTTCTCCTCGGAGAGGCTCTTCTCCAGCAGTGGCCTCATGGAGCTTTCCAGCTTGGTGATTTCAGAGGGGCTCGGCGGGGAACCCCGACCGCAGATTCCTCTCTCGCTCAGCTTCATCTCCTCCTCTTGGATTAGGCCTGTTATTTCACTGTGGGAGCTGGAGATGCCATCAGAGGAGTATCCGGTGTCACTGAGGCTCTGGGGGCTGCGCGACAAGTCGTGGGTGCTGTTGTTTTTCGTATCCTGAAGAGAGAGGAAGAGAGAAATGAGAAAATGCATTAAATTTGGAGAAGCTAGGGTGTTAAATTTAAGTCATAATTAATGCATAATCTGAGATTGCGTTGATGTTGCATAACCATATCGATAGGCATACAATTTAAGCCCACATAACTTCGGATCCTGGTTTTAAATGACTTCTTTCAGCTTTTAATATGTATCTAAGAAAAAGGTTCAAAAAAGAAAAAATAACATAAACATGAAAGCTTGTTCAAAAAACTAGACCTAACAGCAGTCCTCAGCTTTTAATACAAAGTTAGTTGTAAATATAGCTTTGGACAACATTCTGAACTTAGTATTTCAACAAGAGTTAAAGAAATAACACTGAAAACTCTCTCAAACACTACCTCTAAAAATAACTTGGTGAATACAAGTAACAGAGGCTTTTGTCTTAGTTCAGTCCAATGGTTTTTTGGGACATTCACACACATTTGGTGATTTAATAGGTTTTTAATGCGGTTTGATTAATGTGACCTAGCCATTATTTTTGGACCATTAACTACCCAATAATGAAGTTCTCTCTCTCTATATATATATATACTTCATTTTGAACAAGAATTCACTAAAGTAGGGCTCGGAAAGTTTGGCGGTGCACAAAAACAATTTTTTGTTACGTGAGCATGAAATTGTGCTAAATTGATTAATTATTATGGAATTCACAGAGTAGCAGAGTCTGAACTTGAACGTGTGAAACAGACAGCGAAACACTGCTCAGTAACATCGTCTAAACTCTAAAAATCGCATTTCTAAAATTGGATTTGATGAGACTTAACGTTTAAAGTGGGCTAAAATTGGATGCTTATAATGATCTCATAAGACGTTGCTAACTTGCAAGCGCAAAAAATTGACAACACTGAATTCACAGTGAACATATAAGAGAAAAGCTTCGAGGTCCTTCAACAGCACAGCAGAAATTTAACATGTAATTCATGAACAAAAGGTAAAGGTTTGCCCTTCCTATTTCCAAAACTGAATAAATGACATGACATTTGAGGTCAGCTAACAGCTACAAAATCCTAAAGAAATACTGTGATTTTGTTATAATAGATCTACAATTCAAATACGGTATAAAAATAAAGCATTACGCAAGCACAAAACTGATCTGAAAAAATAAAGAAACTAAAAAAAAAAACTGAAATAATAATAATAATAATAACAACTGGCAGCATTAAGCATCAACAAATGCAGTCATCATAATGAAATTTAGTTCTTCGGTTTCAGTGTTTTGAGCCATTGATGGAAAGAGGTTAGTCAAAGTGTGTTTTTTAGTATTGAAAAGAATGTTATTGTTTTTGTTTGTTTGTTTTGTTTTGTTTCATGAGCTTAAATTGGAATTTGGAAAATTAGTGTGACTGGAACATAAAAACTACTCAAAACTCATTCATCAATGGCTCCACGTCAGGTGTCTGGTAGTAACATGCCAAATCATAATCTCAAAGAGACTAACCTGGTTAATGAAAGGGGGAGATGGAGGAAAGAATACAAAATAGAGAGAAATTATGGAAATCTTTCTCTAGAAAAACCCTCTTACGATGCTTCCAACACTTCAGAGACTCAACTGTGAGCTCTCTGTACTTAAAGCCCTCAGCAGCTTCCCCAAAGAACGAGGACGGCCTGCACTGCCTTTGAAAAGGCCCGAAGCTGCGCTACTTTTAGCTAAGGGCTCGGAGGTTTATCATATTCATGGCAAGCCAATCTTTATGCGGCGCTACTTCAACTTGTTCTGTCCTCTGTCTTTCTCTTTCTCTCTCCCCAAGGTAATCCACGGATGCCTCGCTGCCACTCGCAGCCTCAGCACACAGCGAGGAGGGAATCAGTGACATGCAAACGGACGTCCAACACTTAAGGAGAAACTATTTGGTTCAACTCACGGTTCTAAATGTCACCGTCAACTGTGCAATAGTTATTGTTTCATGTAAAATAGCCAACTTTGGGGGCGCCCCGATAGCTCACCTAATTAAGCAGGCAACCCATAAACAGGGCCTTGATTTCCCCGACACAGTGGTCGTGGGTTTGACTCCCACTCATGACCCTTTGCTGCAGGTCTCTCCCCATTCGTCTCCCCCTTTTCCTGTCTATCTCTACTGCTCTAAATAAAGGCAAAAGCCCAAAAAATATATTTAAAATAATAATAATAATCAACTTTGTCACATGTAAATTATGCCGGACTGTGATCATAAATCAGGATACAAGTGAAGAGTTCCTTTGCAAAAACAGATAACTCCATTTTTGTCCATTTTCAGAAAACTTTTTTTTTTGTGGTTTGCTTAAGATAATATCAATCAAACTGAAGTTGAGTGGATTTGACTCAGTAGAATGACGTGACAGAAACAGAGATAACTTAAGTTGGACTGATATTGTCTCAGGTGGACGATGGAGAAGTGGGTTTTCTGAAGGTTTGTGAAGACGGAGTTCTCTTTTCTTGCAAGTATAGTGCACAAATTTTTATACAGAGAGACTATTTATATATGAAATTCACGGGATAAATAAGCTGTAAATAAGGAGTTAAGGAATACGAAAGTCAGGAAGTATAAAGTTTAGACAAAGTAAATCAAGAGAACTGATAGTTTTTTTTTTTGAGAAGCTTCTTTAAGCAAAGTTTGGCACAAATGCGACATGTAAGGTAAAATAATATACATTTAGAAATGACCTCCTAAACGTATATTATTAAAGCTCAGATCATCGGATTGTCAAGACGGAGGTCGAGATACAAGGAGGGCTCGATGCTTGAAGGGTTTGTTGTTAATGTTTATTGTTTATAGTTGTTATAATAACTAGTGTATTGTTAGAACACGACGCATCGCTGGATTTCACGCCTTTGACCGGTGCGCTTGTGCCGTCAGTTGACATCAAAGGTAAGTGGTCCTAAATCCGACAGGTATCTGATCTTTTGCCTTGTGACTTCTCTCTAAAAGGCCAGGTCACACTTATCCGACCTACACGTCATTGATACACGACAAACTAGGGCTGGTTCCAATAGCACTTTGTGGTCTCTGGATATTCAGGAATGTCAGAATATTCGGTGCGGTCGGGGAACACTTTCACCCCGGGGCAGCGCTCCGATGGGCTGGAAGTGTCCAGAACACACATAAAATGTAATGTCAGAGTCGGAATCCAATTCTGTCGGTATGTTAAGGCTGTTTTTAATGGGTTCTGTTCGTTTTTCCTTAAAACCTGTCGGATAGCAAGGTTTAGGATTATCGAGTCACGACTGTAACGGACACGGATTGGTGGAGCTGTGACAACTAGAAAACAGCGTATGGCTACACAGGCAGAACACTGGCTATTGTGTTATCATCATATCAAGCCAGACACAGGTACACGTCTCTACATCTGACTTCAAATTTGCACAAAGCAACATGTCGCAGCATATTACTACCAAGCTCAGCATTAACAGTTGTTGTAGTTTCTGGAGGGTGTGGGCCAGGCTGTAGCGTAGGGTATGTAAACATGGCACCAAGCACAGAAGCATGGACGTGAATGACACGGCTGCACAGGTTGCTGCATGTCAACTAGCATAAATACACAACTGTTAAACCCACATATTTAAGTTACCTGCTCCTAGCAACTGCAGCTTCTGTGCAAACTACTAATGACACGAAATGCATGGATCGTTAGCGACTCTCTACTGCTGCTGCGTCTCCAAGTAAAAAAAATGTCCAAACACAATGTCAGGCTGAATGAATGGAGTGAAATGAGATAGCATGGCAGTCTGATTATCAAGCTAAACAGCACAAAAGGCTTCAAAATCCACATTTAGACTAGACCACGCTTCTGTAGTTCATTTAGCGTGTTAGGCTTGATGGGAAAAGCTGTTTAAGTGAAGCAGGACCAAGCTGAAGCAGCGTTATTTAAGTTAACCTGCGTACATACACAGGCTTGTATGTTACACTATGGTTTCCACAGAATGTTCACCGTAAATTAGCCAGATTTTCTTCTCTTCATTGCATTTCTGCATTATCTGTCTGTTGCACGTTTCATGAATTGTATGAAATTGTGCTTATTTTCCATAGTTTAACATACAGAGAAGCACACTGGACTTCACGTGAATGAATCAGACTTACGTCGTAGTGCCTGGACTTCTTGATTTCCTTGATCGGTGTGATCTGCTCTCCCTTCTTCTGGGAGGGTTTGGTCTCTTTGGCAGTTTGGTTCTCCGGCTCGATCTTGGGCTTGTCCTCTGTGGGTTTTGGCTGTTTCTCTGTGGTCGGCGCCGGCGTCGTAGTCTTGGTGTCGGTCGGTTGTTTGGCAGCCGTCGGCGCGAACGGTCCGCCGCTGCCGGGTGTCGGCTGCTGTTTCTGTGTCTGCGGCTGGGTCTGCTTGGGCCCCTGCTGAGTGGCGGGCTTGTGGAGAGGGCTCTGCTGACTGGTGGGGGTCTGGTGACGAGGCGAGCCCATTGGCTGGTGCTTGGGAGACGGGTGAGGAACAGGAAGCGGAGGTTCGTCGAGGCCGCCTCCAGACATCAGCCGCTGGGTCTGGCAGTTTAGACATAACCACTCTTTTTTCTGAAAAACAGAGACAAGACAAAAAACAAAGTCAGTTGATGACAGTTAGCCAGCTCTCCATAATCGGTTGGTAGTGTTTTGTTCTTGGATGTTCCAACAAGACAATGACGTGGTGGTAAAGAAATGGTTAGATCAGGCTAAAATGAAGGTTTTAGACTGATGTCCCTAAAGTCCTGACTTAAATCCCATCAAGAACCTGTGGACTGTGATGAAGAAACAAGTCTGAACTGGGGTCACAAAGCAGGTTCAACAAACCCTGAGTCTAATCCTGAACTCTGAGTTGATCTACTGTGAGATAGGAACTACTCCGAGGGATTTGAGTTAGTTTAATCAACTGGGAGTAGTTTCACCAGGAGTTAAGCGCGTGCACCACAACCATAAAAAGCCAGCACCAATGGAGCCCCAATTTGATGAGTCACCATGGCAACGGGGAAGCAGAGGGATGCGGTTTTCACCCACTAGAATTGGAAATCTTGATGCGCTCATACGGCGAGTTTGAACATGTTTTTAAAAAGAAGTGCAACATCGCTGCATTTGCAAAACAGACGCTGTACGGGGAGAACATGCAAACTCCATGCAGAAAGATCCTGGATGTCCTCACTGGGACGTGAACCGACGACCTTCTAGCTGTGAGGCAACAATGCTAGCCACCGCTCCAACTTGCATCCCACAATAAATGTATGAATAACCAAAATACACAGTTGCTTTCTGTGACAAAGACGCATTTGTTTCAATGATTCCATCACAGAAAACTAAGACTTATAGGAGTTCTTGGAAACCCTTCAGGGAAACTGCTGTTCACTTGTGTGTTTAACAGTTTGCAGCATCAGCAGCAAACAGTAAAGACTGAGGCTCTGGGCGGCTCTCAGGTCTCTGCATGTGTGTGTGATGCTACTTCACCCTGCACTCCAAGAATCACAATAAAATAATGACGTGCTCTCATTCAGCTCCTCGGGTTAAATCAGATCGGCGGCTTAAGAGGCTGATTAATATTCTCCACGTTCGCTGCGTCCATTCCACTCAAATAGGAGGCTGCTGCCGCGGCGGCGACAACAACAACGCAAAACGTGCGCGTCCTGGTGCACGCGCCGGAAATCTCATTTCCAGACAGAGCTGTCAGAGCTGCGGCAGGCCTAAGCTAAGCTGATGCACATTTCTAGGAGTCTGTCTGACAGCTACACCCTGCTTTCATCACATCAGGACTCCACACCACTGTGAGACTTAGCGGCAAAAAAAATAAAGTTTGTTCCGACAAGCAGCCCGAACGATGTGCTGAAAGTTTCAAAGCAACAATATAAAGAAACACTTGTTCTAAATCAATGTGCTGAATTTCTTTTTAAAAAATTGCATCATCTGCAGACACTCAAATTTAATTAAATCTGAATTATCTTTTTTGTTTTTGGCCGTTTGGTGAACAAGCTGATGTGTGTGTTTGTACATTCAGCCAATACGGCACCATTATTATTCATTTGCTGTCACGTCTTTGGTCATTTGGTCCAATTTTCTCTCCCTCTTAGCTCATACTTCTGTCACAAGCAACTCCAGAGGGAAATATCTCTTTAGCTGCTAAGGGGAGGTTCCAGTGTTGTGTTGCCTGAGTGCTTCGTTCACCAGCTACTTGCTAAACTGTCTGCCTCATGGTTTTTTAGAGCTTTCACGTGAAAACTGCGACTCAGAACAATAAACATCGAAACCTGAAACGCTGAAACTCTGCTGCAGTGTGTCAGATTACTGTCAGATCGTCTTCAGAGCCCCACGTTCAATTTCGAAAAGTCGCTTTAGAGTTTAAATGCACTAATAATGTCTGGTGTTTGGTTTTGTTCTTGTGTTTGTAACGGTTTCTCTTCATCACCTGCCACCTCCACCATCTGTTAATTCAGTCTGCATCCAGCTCACAGTGTTGGGGCCTGAAGAGCAGCTGTATTACTCACGTCATGAATAATTAACGAATGCATCCCCCCTCCTCTTATCTATCAGCTCTATTCTCTTCCACCGGCTCCTCAAATCCTCTCACAAAACTCACCAAACATCCTCCTAATGCAGCTCCCCTCTCCTGCTCATCCTGTAGCTGCTTTACCTCGCCGCCTTTTTAGAGTTTATCGCTGATTAGGAGTCACGCAAAAGACCCCTCAGAGTCCACAATGACTCGTAGGGGACGTTCTAACCAAATACAAGACCAATAAAGGTGAAGTTTGTAGGATTCAGGGGGTTTTATGAGCAGAAATGTAATGTAGGATCGTGTTAATCACGTGTAACTACAAATGTTTGTCAGCTCACTACGAGCCCTCGACGTTCTCTTAAGAGCAAATCAGCTGCTTCTCCGTCAACTCCAAAAGCTCCACAGAGGCTCGTTTTTAAAGTGAAACTGCAGCCGCCGTAGGTTCTGTAAGCTTGTTAAAGGAGACCACCAGATGCTATGAAGTAAATTCACATATTTATGGTCATCGTGAGCGACTCGTCGCAATAAACAGGAGCTGCTAATTGAAAAAATAGTCAAATCGTGGAGCAGAAAGAAGCTAAAGAGAGACACAGGGAGCTGGATTGTCTCTATTAACTA